GATTGCTGCCAGAGTTCTCGGTGTGAAGTCTCTATTTGCTGCTTTGTGACAAACACCTTGTGTGAGGTACTCTGAAACTCTGAATATCCCATTCCTCCTCGAGCTTTCAACCCACTCATTTATTTATTTATATCAGTACAGGTTCATGGTTTCCTAGCGCATTCAACAGACTATGACCTGTTGCTGTCATTAGCTAGCGTGGTACTCAAATTTTCATTCATTTGACCAGGGGCCTCCCATTCAGGTAAACCTTCGTGTCTCTCTCACTGGTTCCCATCATCCTTTGAGCTCTCTCCCCTGTTTTCTGACCCAAGACAGGTTCATCTCAGGTTCATCCGGGCCTCCCTGGCCCAAGTCCAGGATCTGCCATTTTGTGTCCATGGAGAGTGGAGTCTGGAAGCCAAGGTCTGGCACCAGCTGTGTTCACTTCCCCCATGGCTCACTCCATCCTCTGGATGCCTCTGGAGTTCAGGCTTTCCCAGGCTTGGTGACCATGACTCACAAGGACAGAGATCTGCTCTCCTTCTGTGTCCCCTCAGCCCCCATAAATAAAGGGCTCTTATTGGCACCGCCCAGCTGAGTGCCCTTCCCTGGGCCAATCATGGAGGCTGGGCATGGGAACCCTCTCTGGCCAGGCTTGGGTCCTGGCGCAGCCCTGGTTGAGGAGGGCCTTGCAGGACTCAGCCTCACCCAGTGCAGGAATGGGGAGCCCCCAGGAAAAACGGCTCTTTCACAAAAGAAAAACGGATTTTTCCCAAAGAGAGGCAGGTGGGCCTCCTCCACCTGCAGGCAAGGGACTTGAGGAAGGGAAGCCTGGCAACAAGGGGGTGTGGCGAGGGTGCTGGGGTGGAGAAGCCCCCTGTGCCCAGGCCCTGAGGGAAGCTGGCCTGGGGCCGGAAGTTGGCAGTGTGGCCAGAGCCTGGGCCCGGGCCGCCCTGGAGGCTGGGCTGTGAAGATAGGGCCCTCGCTTGCCCCCGAGGCGGGCTCCTCCGAAGGACGTCAGGGCGGAGT